ACACACACACACACACACACACACACACACACACACACAATAATTCTCAAAACATTAGACATTGTTTAAATAGTAAAATTTGTAATTTGTAGTAATTTGATCTATTTATGTAAATGCATCGTTTTTTATTTATTTCATTTTTGCATTATATCAGTCAGTGCGTACAGACAAAATGACTCATTACTCTCAACTCAAAAATAACATCGATACACATTATAATAATGAGAATGGGGGTGAAGGATAGGGGTTAAATTGTCAGCTAAATAATGCAAAACTAATTTCCAGCAATTCAATGATTATTCTAACAATTAAATGATTGCTTTTTTACATTAGGCTTCATTGTCTTTATGCATATTAGAATTTCTTATTTGAATTCATGTTATTTTGGGGGTGCATATCATCCAGACATGTTTTTCCGTGAGCTCCATTCTTAAACTGATAATCACTAAAATCCTTGTCCATTTGTCTGTGGTAATAAGGTTTAGTTAAACAATAAGCCCTGCTTATTGTCTCAGTGGTTGTAGTTGATCCAGTATGTGTTGTTTTTTTTTGTTTTTTTTTGGGACAGTTGGCTCAGTACCCCATGCTTAGAGAGGAAATGGAGAGGATTGTCACCCAGCACATCCGTGATTGAGAGAGTCGCACTAAGGATCAGGTACATCCTTTCTACCACATGCCTACCAACCCTCACATATACAAACTCATGTGGCAAAACTGAAAAACAAGTAGCAACGTGTATTCTTTTCCTGCCATCAGGTCATGCTGCTAATTGACATTGAGCTAGCCTACATGAACACCAATCATGAGGATTTCATTGGTTTTGCAAAGTAAGAACATTATTAACCATTTACTAACATTATTGTTTGTCACCTAAAAATGCAAACAGCTAGAACACTCCAATATAACTGTGAGGAGATCATCAGGTTCATAGAAACTAACACTGAAAATGTCGTTCAATGAATGCTTTCTGAAGAGCAATTCTATGGTCTCATCATTAACCATTATAAGATGTGTTGGATTTGTATTATTAGAGCTTTCCGACTTGAGTTCACGTGCATTTTCTCCGTCTGGAAATTATTTTTCAAAGGCACAGTGATTGTGTCCTCTGTGATCCCTAGATATTCACAGTAGATCACAGACTGATTCATAAAGACATGCTAAATATGATTGTACAATACTTTTACAGTTTAAAAGTGTCTGTTCATTGTTCGCCATACATTTGAGTTATTATTCTAACAGAAAACAGCATGATAGGTCTAATTTTATATTTGGACTGAATTTTAAGCATGTATATATATCTTTTGTATCTCTCGTGTTAATGCTGTGAATTAGTTACTGAACTTTGCATCTTTCTGCTACTTTTGTATTCTGTTCATCTTGTCTATTCTCACTACTGCATTTCCCAGTTTATAATTACCTATCTTAAACCCTGTCTTTGCTTTGCTTCTGTTGCTATGGCAACGCACCTCAGGATGAGATAATGGTAAGTGTGCATTGACTGCGGCCTCTTTAGTGTGTGTGTATGTGTGTGTGTGTGTCTGATTGAGTGTGTTTGTGTCTGCTAATTCACTTTGGCCTTTTAATATAAAATGGATTTGAAAAATAGCATTACAATTTGATTATTATGGTCCTAATTGTGGTGCATTTGTTTAAAACAAAAACACAAATAGCTTTTTTTAATCATTAATTAATCCTGACCTTTTCCGATAAAGTTGAGTGATTTCGCACAATGCCACTGCACTGGAGAAGCTGCTGGAAATCCATTGCACTTCTGAGAGCTGTAGCTCATCTGTAAGAAACATGACGTTCATTTCTCAGAGAACAAATATACTGAACAAATATAGCACTCCTATATATGCACTGTAGGTTATTTGGGGTAAAAAGAAGTCTTCCAGATGTAATGAAAGTAAAGCCTGAAAGCATACACTAATCAATTACAGTCGAAAATTCAGAGAAATAAAATTTTTACCTTTACATCTGAAAGTAAAAGCATACTTAAAAGCATACCAAATACTAAGAATTTCTGAAATGTATGTAGATTTTTGATGTGACTCATTTTCCTTAAATTGTAATACTGACAATATAATTTGTCAACTTAAATCTTAACTTTTATTTGATATTTATTTGTTATAATATAAAACTTTATTTGAAATCACACACACACACACACAGGTTTGTTTTTATGGTTTATGGGGACTCTCCATAGGCGTAATGGTTTTTCTACTGTACAGACCGTATATTCTATCGCCCTACACCAACCCTACCCCTCACAGGAAACTTTCTGCATTTTTAGATTTTCAAAAAAACTCATTCTGAATTATTTATAAGCCTTTTGAATTACGGGGACACTGAAAATGTCCTCATAAATCACCTTCTCGTTGTAATACCTATGTCATACCCATGTTATTATACAAATGTGTGTCCTCATAAACCACATAAACATGCACACACACACTACTGTTAAAAAAATTGTTGTCTGTACGATTTTTATATTTTTTGACGTATTCTCTTAGGCTTATCAAGGCTGCATTTATTTGATAAAAATACAGTAAAAACAGCAATATTGTGAAATATTTTTAGAATTTAAAATAACGGTTTTCTGTATTAATTTATTTATTTTGTGGAAACCATGATACACTTTTTTAATGATTCCTTGATAAAAAAAATAAATAAAAAAATTCTAAAGAACAGTATTTATTTGGTATCATTTTATTTCAGATCAATTTAATGATTAATTTAATTTAATCAATTAACTTAAACGTTTTAACTGTAGAGTATATGTACAATTCAGCTAGTGGTCTCAGACGTTTGAACTCCACTGTATTGGCAAAGC